GGCTGTGCTAATCCTTGAATGATTTAAATAACACGAATTTGTTAGAGAAAACTTCGTTGACCTGAGTTTGGTTACGCTAATCTTGTTTGTTTTGCAGTATTAAATGTAGCCAGGCGATGCCCGGGCGAAAACAATTAAGCCACATCATTTATAAAGATTTAGGGTTGTGCTCGGTCGAACTCGTGGTGACCTCTTGAGATGGAGAGATGGAGAGATGGTTGGGCACCCCAGCCACCCACGTCCGAGCCTACATGCTTTCACTGAGTGGGAAAAGGCCCCAAGTAGTAACGAAGTTATTTCACGGGCCGAGCTGCCCTGGGACCATTCCCGCTGTCGATTGCGGTGGAAGGTCGTATCAAAAGGCGATTTAATGAAATTACGGTCAGTATTAATCACTGTCAAGGCTAATTGAGTATGAAAACAAGCGAGCACGGCGGCGCTTGCCACGTAGGGTATGTCGGCCTGCCGATTGCCTCCTCGAATCAGTGTCCTTGTCGACGTCAGCATTCGTTAGGGGCGAGCGGCCCGACAAAAATGCAGTCTGACATCTTAAAAGGGTTTGTCTGCCGGTGCCCCCTCCCTTTCCCTGCTTTCGCTTTCGCTTCCGCTCATTTCCCAGCAGTTTCCCAGCAGCGGATCTCGTGAGTCCGCCGTACATATAATTATTATTGTGTGGCCCGACTGTTGCGCACTCCCAATTGCTTTCCCTTGCCAGCAAACGGCGGCCACTTGCCGCACATCGTTTGTCAATCGTAAACTGTGAGCTGACAGGGACAAATGGCATTGGAAGTCGATTCTACTTGCCGGCGATTGTGGCAAATGAAGTGAAACCATTTTCGTGATTTCTTGTTTGGCCAGCAGGATGAGCCACCGAGTTATTGCGGCAACCGACGAAGAACCACCCGGTTTCACCACCCAGAGGTCCCCGGTCTAATGCCTAATGTAATCAGGGCTGATGGCAGTTGCCAAAAATAAACACTCGCCGCATGCAAAATGAAATTGTGTGCAACGAGCAGCGTCGACAGCTTTCAGCTGTCAGCCGTACTGAGCGGCAGGGGCTGCCATTAACTTATTGAATTTAAGCCAATTTGGCAGCGAGCACTTAGCAGACCGCACAGCAGCACAATTGCCGTGAGCATCCTTCGTCCGAGCTCCGAAATCCAACGTCCAGTGTCCAGTGTCCAAAGTCCGATGTTCGTGTGCTGCCACATCAAGTGGCGGACCAATTTAATGTGGCAGCCCGCCCGCCCCAACTAAATCAAGCCGAGCTACTGCCCCCGGCCACTGGCCACCTGTCAAGTGCATGTAGATAAATTTCCGAGCTAATGGTGCCGGCGCCCTAGGAGGCGCGGAGCAGCCTCTGTCGAGTTGGTTGCGATTGGAGAAGTGCAGCCGCCAGCTGCTGAACTGCTACAAAAGTACAGGCAATCAGGGACGGGTCAGCATTGCCTGCCCGTCCGTGGCAGGTCGCTACTCTCGCCGTTAACTGAGTTGAGAATCACAAAAATTGGTCATTCCGACACAATGAGCAGGCAGCAGCAACAGCAGCAGTAGCATCCTTGGCGGCTGCGATAAATGCTGGCGAAGTGCATGGAGGAAGCGCTAAAACAACATGCTCGCCAAATTCAATTCCGACGCTTTAAAGGCCGGCGCTGAAAGGCTTTTTGCAGAGCCAACGGGGCCAAAGCGGAGAGCCAGTTTGGGTTAAGCAAAGTGCGGCAAAGTAAAGCAAAGTGGAGCGGAGTTTGCCCAGCAAAAAACCCCGCCACTTGGGCTGCTCTCGCCCTGCACAGAACGAGGTTTTTCCGGCCGTCTGCCTGTTTAGATAAACAGAAAGTTTTAAGCGCAACTCAAAGAGAGAGTCGCTCCGATTCGACTTACATCCCAGGAGCCTCCTCGAGCACACACATTAATTGATTTAAGGCCGGGGCCCGGGAAAACAGCGCGCATTGTTTGTGCCCCAAAAATAAACAGGAGGAGCGGAACATCTGCAGATAGTCAAATAGTGGAAGTCGAGCTGTATGCCGCGATGCGGCCGAGTGTGCATAATTCCATTATGGCCGAATTCAAAGGCGTCCTCACACCAGCTAAGCCAAGCTGAACATGGGGCTATAAATAGACCGATCCGGGGCGGACTCGTGTTCTAATTTGCCTCACGTTTCAATAAACCCGGCCAAGGAGACCCGTGAGCTCATAACTCAGTGCGGGTAGTGGCCGGAGCACCCGGTCACGGAGCCTCGAATTTATATCGCAGTTCAGGGGCACTCATTTTTAAATCTCCCGGAATTGGTGAAAATTTATGAGTCCGAGAAAGGCGAAAGCATAAACTTGTCAGTCACACATAGGCACATAAATCGCCAAGGATCCCTACCCCACTCCCGTTTCCCAGCCGGGTCCCTCTCGTTTGGTTGGGGCGTGTAATCCGAGCTCGTAAAGTTCAATAACCTCGAGGGGATTAGGTACCGCTACTGGGCAGGAAGTGCACTTGTTTACGGAGCCCAACATATCTCCCCGGCTGACCTCTTGCGGGCCACATAAATAACAATAAAATAATCGCTGGCATGAAAAGGGGCTCGTTCACAATTCAAATGAAATTGCCCGTGCTGCTGGGCCACTTTCAGTGGTCAAGGATATGCCGCTCCTTTTTAAATAACACTCTTCTCCAAGGTGTGCTCATGCATGAATATTGCCATGGATACGGACACTGCCACGGATACGGGCGGGCTTGGGCCACGGAGCGGGGAGCGAAGAGCGACGAGGAGCCTGGCCTGAATCGGGGACATTAAGGATCCAGCCGTTGACCACTCGAAGTTTCGGCAAGGACACACCAGCTCACAATGTGCCTCATTTTGAATAAATTAAATTTGTCTGCAGCTGGCTATAATAAGCGGTCATTTCGGGCCGGAGTGTGGATGCCGGGCGGTTGAATGGCCGTACATGGATTCTCGGATGCATGACAGACATGCCTCAATAATTTTATTAGGAGCAGAGACGGGATCGGGCGGCGGGCGGTTCGGCGGCTAATTAGGCGTTTTAAATGTCAGTCGAGGCGGCTTAAAAGGGATAACACGAAATCTTTTCAAACATGGCCAAAGGCGTCCGGGTTTCCAGTTGCGAGCACAATATGGCCAAAACAAAGCCCAATATGCTCATAATCAGATGAAGCCGCCAAGCCGCCCATTAATTATGCATGTGTGTGCGAGCCCGTGGGCGCCGAGGGTGGGCGGCGGTGGAGGGGAAGAGGTAGGGGGAGGGCCGGCAGCATATGGACAGCCTAAGCCCGCAAAAGCTGTAGCTCAAAGTAGCCGTCGTTTAATGAGATTAATTAAATAAACAAATGGCAGCGCGCACTTGCCCGTGGCCGCATTAAAAGTGTATGCAACGCGAAGCGCGAGAAAAGCGAACCGGATTGGGATTGGAATTGGGATTGAGATAGGGATAGGGATGGGGGTTGGGATTGTGACTGGTAGAGGTGGTAGTGGTGGTGGTGGGAGGAGTGCGATTCGGATGCGAAGCGGTGGCTGTATCTCTGCCAAGCGCGCAACCTGCATAATGAAACGCGCTGCGAGGGCATATTAATCGACATTAATTTGTCAGTGCGTTCGCGTCGAGGAGCCCAGCGCTCCGACCCTTTCGCTAATCGAATATTTAATTAGTTTGATGCCATCCCAAATCGGCTCGTAGATTAGCATAGGACGGAGGGGACTTGGGCTCCCAGCTGGGGAAGAAGGGGACACCAAAGCCACAGCAAAGTCAAAGGCATTTGCGAGATTTCTGATCGGCCGAACAAAGGCACCGGGCGAGGGAAAGGAGGCCGCGACCCCCGGAATGACCTCAAATACAAGATTGGGAACAAGAACTAAATATCTTAAGTGCTTTTATGTGCCTGGGCCCCACGGGTTGCTCGCTGGAGTGACGGCTGTGATGGGTCCGATGGTCGCGCCAGGACCCTTCGTCCTTTCGCTCTGCTCATTCTTTGCTTTGGCTTGCCTTGCTTTATTACACTCAAATCATTTTCGAGAGTCAACTTCGCCGGTCCCTGCCCGCCGAAAAGGGGTTGAAAACAATTCTGAAAATTTATTTTCATTAATTTTAATTCGCTGCAAAACTTTTTTGCCCCAGCCGCCAACGCAGACGGAGGATGTGAGCCGGGGTCCAAGGGAAGCGGGGTCGACGGAGTCAAATAATTACTTTTTCGGATTGGGCCAGCGTGTCCTTTTTTAATTATTTGCCTAAGGCCTTGTTGCTTTAGGTTCCCGTGCGTAGGACTGGCGAAGCGAGCATAATTAATTTATTTCATTTGCGCCAGAACGATTGCAATAATTAATTGAAACAGCTCCGCGGAGTGTCTCCGCTGTGCGAGACTCCGAGTCCACTTTGCTTGTTGATACGCAGATTAGAGGATTTCCGTGGTCCGATGACGAGGCATTGATTCCATCGGACTTTGACAAGCGATGACGATGCTGACGGAGAACCCCTCCGCCCGAGGCCGCATTGATTGCACTTAAGCCACGACAAAGGCCCGGCACAGACTCCGGCTCCGATTGCGTTCTCGATCAGCCCGCACCGGAGTCGGACTCGGACTCGAATTCGGAGACGGAGACGGAGTCGGGTTCCCGTTCCCCCTCCGTGCTCTAATGTCAATAGCACGCAAATTGCTGACGCCGGGGCTGACAAGCCTGACTCAGCAGGCGGCAATCAGCGGAGCTCGCTCTGTGTCGCTGGGGGACGGAAGTGTGTGTCTGTGCAGGACTGATATGCGCACATCGTTCCATCGAACTGGGTTGCCTTGCGATGGGATTTCGTGTGTGTGGCACTTGGGCTGCAGGCCCAGCTGGCAGACACAATAGACGACGAAAACATGAGGCTATTAACTCGAATTCGGCGCCCGGGGCCTGCACTTCGAACTGAATAATCCTTAAACGACGCTCGAGTTTGCTTGAACTCGTCGCCCGCTGTATTCACTCACTAATTCGGATATTTTTCTGTTTTTGTTTTAGGTGGCGACAGACAGGCGCGTTGATTGGCTGGTAAGTAAATGAGAAAGAGCCAGACCGAGATTGATTACTGGATCGATTTGCGACCCAGACTAATTGTCGTCGCGTTGCGCATACGCCAGGTGTTCGCAGCGTGTCCGAAGGCCATATCCGTATCATGCACATTCCGGTGGGCGGGCAGAGGGGAGCGGGGATGCAGAGCTGGTCTGACACGTGGAAATTAATTGCGATACTTTTGGTTAATGAACTAGTTCAACAAGCCGATAGCGCCGGTTGAGGTCACAGTACAGCAAGAGGCCAGCACGGCAACGGCCAAAAGGACAATTTGCAATGTGACGTCAAAACAATTACGTGCAGAAATACGTTTGATAATAAAATGAAGTGACCTGGCTTGAGCTTGAGTCGGTGCTCTCTTCCCTGAAAGGCTGGAACGTGTTCAAGTGTTGACTTTTATAAATTGTGCACTCGTTGCCACCCAACTCTTCCCCCCTCACTGTGCTCATGCCGGGGGCCTGCCTTGCGCTGGCCAGGTGAAAATGTGTTGGCGAGAGCCCAACTTGGTCAGCAATTAATTACGTCAGCAGGATAGACCGGCAGGCGGCCACTCGTCCAAGTTCCGTATCTGGAGCGTCAGCTCATCTGTTCCGGACCAGTTTAAGCGGCATTTAAAGCGCATTTGGCTGGCCCAATCGACTTCCCTCGCCGGCTTGAATAAGCCCCACTCCCCAGTCCCCAATCCTCACCACCCATTGCTCACTCCCCGATCTCGACCCCTGACCCACTTCGTAGATCCCTCAATGCTCAGCACGACGCCTGGCCCACTGGAAGGCGGCAGATTTATATTTGGCTGCCACGCCTGACTGACTTCGAATGACATTTAAGCGCAGGGAAGTGCCCGCTTTAGTTTATCTCGCCGGGCTGAGCGTTAAAATAATTCCAGGCTTTCCTTACTCTTCTGTTCGGCTCTGTTTTCGCTGGCAATGCGGTTTGCAGCCCTTGCCGCAATTAATGCCAACAGATTAATTATACGCATGGCTGCACACTGTGCGTCGGAACGCGGAGCCTCTACGGCGGTCTCCGTTTCAGGTTCTGGTTCCGTTTTGTTTTTAAATTTATTTGAAAAACAAAAGCGGGAGACACCGTACCCAATAGTCAAAAAAAAAAAAAAAAAAACGAGCTGGCTCCTAATGAGAGGACATTAGCCGGTTCTCCGGCCAGCTCAGAAACCCTAATTTGGTTCGACTTTCGGGCGGGGGCTTGCGCACAATCAAGCTGTCAAATACTCGGCTTCCTTTGTTGCTCCGGGAACTTTAAGCATATTTTAAGCGACTGCAATTTGGTATTGATAGGTTCTGGGCAGCAGATGTGGCAATAATAACTTTCTCGCCCGACGAGGAAGCCGGGGGGCACTGCGATAAATCTTGAGGCGCTGGCGTGGTTGGCATTAATGCCCGGCAGCCCATGTGCCAAGATGTCAACTTGTGCCAGCGGCGAACAAAGGCAGACGCCAACTACTTCGAGGACTTCAATCAGAAACAGAGCCACTCGAAGGAGCCGAGGAACAAGGATCTGGCCAGTAGTGGGGCTCACGGAAGGCGTTTGAGCGTGCCTGGGGCCCCGGTGTCCAAACACTTTCCTGACGGTCCTCCTCCCGCGATGATTTATTTGCATTGGCCGTGAGGCCGGAGAGGTATGATTTATGCCCTTCCGGATTGTTTATTAAATCAAATAAACGAGCCTGCCGCCATTGTCGCATCATTAGTGAGTGCAGAACACATTAATTGCATATTAAAACCTGTTCGGGAAACATTTTCCTCTATCTTTGCCAACTGCGCCCATTTAATGCCTTCCTGTCGTTTAAAAGAGGCTGTTGTGCCAATGCCACAAAGATACAGTTGGCGCCTTCTTCTCGGACACATAAAGTTATATTAAGAAGGGCTATAGCCTTTTAGAGAAACAAATGCTTCGACTATTCCATACCTATTGCTCAGGTAAAGGGAATATTTGGTAAGGGTAACTGAATGTTTAAAGAACAGGGAAAAATACCAACTCTGCTGTGCTGGCATTTCAATGCTTTTTGCCTTCCAAGGCATAAATGTGTTGAAAGTTGGAGTTAAAAGTTGACATTTAATCTACATTTAATGCAGGCCAAAAGCATTAAATATCTATTAAAATAGATTTCCTTTTTATTACCAACGATCACAGAAGCTCAACTAATCTAGTAACATCAATATTGCATTATTCTGATAACAAAAACAATGAACATAGGCGAAACATATTTTCTTCTATTTTTTTGAATCGCAATAAAATAAACTGCTGTAAGCGCTTACGAATATTCTAAACGAAATATAAAAATGACCACATCGCACAGCTGCAAGGGCTTACACAAGTTTTATCGTTTTATTTTTTAAAATTGGTCGTTATCTCGCTTAACTAATGTTTGGGAATTCGAAAATTAATACTGAAGCAATTTAATAAATATTGTATTTTTTTTACAAACCAAGATAAAATATAAAAAAACGAGGAGCCAGCTTTTAGAATAAAAGATAAAAGGATTAGAAGTAGAAATTCATATGGTCAATATTTACACAAACATCAAAACGTATTAGTTTTCTCCTACTGCTGCCGTATTACATCCAAATACAATATTCCCATTCGTTTTGCTAGTGCCGAGTATAAACACATTGTGAAAGCTATAAAATGAAATTAGGAAAATCTAGCCGGGTTTTGCCAAAAATTATCTGCCAGGACAAACAGCCGGCAGCACGGAGTATTAAATATTATAAAAGGCAATTTTCGAGTCTCGTATGAAACCGCACGGCGGGCCGAAATCTCCACCACACACTTTCGAGCACGCACACACACGGGGATGAGCCAAGCACTTGGGCGTCGGCCGGAAATCATTAGCAACAAAAGGCCATAAACAAACAGGGCTAAGACAAAACAAGGGCCGTAACAAGCCCTTGCCCGCCCCTCGCAGGATAACCGCAGAGGAAGCCGAAATGCCAGGCCCCTATGGCTGTGACCTTGAGAAAGGGGGCACTGGGCGGTATGAAATATTCAACTGCATATGCCAGACGCGTTGATATCTGCGGCCGAGTTAAAAATCTTGCCAGGTTGTTGGCTCGCCGCGAGCAACTGGATTTGTTGCTGTAATTAAAGCTGCCCTCTCACGGGGCGCTGACTTTTAAAACAACTCTGCAGGTATTTAACGTTTTATGTACTTTTTAGTAGGAGAAAGAGCAGGCGGGGAGGGTCATAATTAAACTTGATTTATGCACGAGATAATAAATTAAACAATGTAGGACCGAGAGTGCAAGGAGCTTACGACCAGTCTGCGCCTCTTAATGTTGTACTTATTTTATTGCGAATTTGATAACGACGTCTGACAGAAGTGCTTTTAATAAACCGATTCCTTCTGTACGCGTGAGTTCATAGGGGCACAAATCCAACTTTAACTGCACTTATTGACTGGCATGAAATGAAATGCTTAAAGCCAACTGCCAGGCCATTACATTTATATCAGTTTAACTGCATGGATTTGTTGACAAAGTATTAAATTATCCAATTGGGCGCTGGTAATGACCCCACCTCGATTGGTATGCCCTAAATTTTTGATTTAAAACTCGTCAGGATACAATATCAATATCATTTTGGCAGTTTGTCGCCGTCCAACAAACCGAATCCGTCCATCTCGAGGGATACATGCTGTGCACGCCCATACATTTTTGACGACCACTTTTTTCGCGAACGCTTATTAAGTATTGATTGACTACGGTTGTGCGGAGGCCCATTAATGTTTAAACACTTCAAAATTGTGCCTTATTGGCGTGCACATGTATGATTTATGGGCCCAGTGAGCTGACGTCAATCACGACTTACTTTGCCGCCCGCTCCGCTAGTTCCTTCCGCGAAATAAAGCAATCAGACCAACCGCAGAGCTGGAGCGACAGCTTGAGTAGTGAAAACTCCAATCAAACTTTTCCAATAAAGTCTTTAGCCTAAAGACAGTGGATAAATCAGGCAATCAGGCAACGGAAAGGGCTGCTCTGCTCCGCTGCTGCGCTGTTCCGCAGCCCGGCCGTTCGGCTGGGCGAGAGCTCACTGTACAGACAGCCTCCGACATAATTTATGGCGTGCTTTAAGCCCGCTGCCCGAAACGAGTCTCTGGCGCAAAGGAAGGATAAAATGCGGCCGAACGAATGAATCGAAAATCAGGCCTGGGCCGTGAAGTTTCCGGCGAAAGTGCGAAATTTAACTTTGTCGATTACACCGTGGAGACCACGTTGCGTATACGTAATAATGGGCCAACTCAAAACGAAAACAGACAATCGACACGCAGGAGTTTAACGAGGGGAGCGCTGATCGGAGCCCGGTTACGTGCATAGTTTGATGCTCCGCCCGAATGGCTTCGGAGCGGGGTTGTTGTTAATAAAAAGGGCAGCCGAGCAAATGAAAAATACTTTCCCAAGTCCCACATCCGCACGTCGACATGTGTGTTGTGTGTTGTGTGGGGGAACTGGGTGGGTGTGCTGTTGGGCAAATTGACTTAATCTAAAATAAAAGTTTAGTGTTGAGCCGAAAGCACACACAGAGACCCGCACAGGCAAACAGATGGTATTTTTTACAGCCGGGGGGGCGGGCCAAGGACCTGCCGGTCGAAGCAGACGAGCTAGTTAGGACACACTGGGATGCGGGGAGGGGCGCAGCGGCATGTTAATTTCCCAGGAAACGCACGATAAAGTTGAATTCTTTCCGAAAAACTATTTGACTTTGGCCAAGGGGTAGACTTCGTCCTGGATGCACGACTAGCCCAGCTCCTTTTCGCCTGAATGCCACAAATAAGAGCCAAACAGTCGTTACATAGATCACATTTTGTGCGGCTTACGTTAAGTTTGCGTTTGCGTTTGCGCTTGCCTTTACCTAGCACAGTGGAGGGTCTGGCCCGATTCCGAATTAAATCAAATAAAAAGGGGAAAAGTTTTAATAAGGAAATAAATTTTACGGAAATGCTGAAAAGGCAGAAAGATTTA